AATATAAAACATTCAAAGAAATTAACTATTATAAAATTATTAGCAAAAGCACTCGCTGAATACTGCAAAATAAATAAGCACATAGTCCAACTAGACTTATGCCCAAAAACCGTTTGTAAATTTTGTGACACTGAAGAAAAAAAATAATTTGTAGCCGCATTCCACTCATGCGTAAACAATATATCGAGATGCAAAAAATATTGCTGCTAAGAACATTTTAAAATTCCCACCATTGACAGTAGCGAAGTTAAAAAAGAGGCGAACACAAAAGATCATACAGATCATAGTGTTACAGGTTTCCTGCCTGATAAAGAGCATTTTTTAATAATAAATAAACTTTAATAAATAATACTTCTGAAGCTTAACAGTATAGAGTATACTGTTAAGCTTCAGTTATGTCTATGGTACTGCTCATGTCAATAGGCAACGGTTACCACTTTCCATCAGGTGGGCCGTCAGCTTGTTTGCCATTCTAAGTTGTATAAAAAAAACCTTTTTCTTCATAAAAACGTCAAACATCTCAATCTTTTTCTCTTATGCTAATGTCTAAGTTTGAAAGTGAAAAAACACTGATTAAATTAGATTTGTATAAGGCTTAATTTTTTTTTTATAAATATGAGATACACCAATAATCACAGATATATGTAACCATTCAAACAACTATAGAAAATTTGTTTCCCTTTATTAAAAATTGAAATTATCTCTTGTTCGTTCTATCGATGTCGATAATTCTCTCCGATTCTCCGCACTACCATAACCTCGTTTCTGGATACGAACTTTATTTTTAGCTCATCAAATCACTCGACTATTTGTCGCTTTAGCTTGTTTTATGTGACGTCGGAGGCTTGTGACGTCGCAGTGTATCTATAGGGGACATAATACTGTAGGGGATATGTTATAAAACAATATTGACACTATTTCTCTATGTTTCAATTTAATTTAATAGTAGTTATTGATTTAAATATCAATCAAAGGTGTCTATTTTTGAAAGTTTTGTCCGTTAGTCTGTTTGAATACGTATCTCTTGAAAAATAGTGCTATATAAAATATTAAATTTTACTACGTACCTATTAACATGATTTGCAAATTGTGTATTAAATTTTTATAAAATTTTGTATGGAGGTAACAATAATGACCTATACTTTGGTCAACGCATTTCTATAGAAATGCAGCAAGTCTAGGTACCCTACCAGTGTGCAGTGATCTCAAAGAATTTTTTTATCTTTAAGTAATTTTTTAAGGACTTATTTTTGATATTTATAGTACGTAGATGTAAGGTGTGTATATAATAGATAGTACTAGAGGGAGACTTTGTACAAAAGTCGATTGCTTGGGTACTCTGTCCCATTCGTGTTTCAACCGTGAAGTAGTTGTGTTTGCATGGCTGTGTTTCGGTTTGAAGGGTGGGATATGGCGTGAATTTCCTGGGAACAGAGGAATAACTGCCGAGTCCTCAGGAATGGCAACGCATGGGGGGTATCATGGGCAAAACAGTATACTCTGTTATGTCCATGGTACTGCTCATGTCTATAGGTGACGGTTACCACTTTCCATCAGGTGGGCCGTCAGCTTGTTTGCCATTCTAAGTTGTATAAAAAAAAGATTATATTTTTAACATATTTGTATGGAAATAATTTAATATATATGGTACATACCATAGAATGAATCTGCCAATTGTAGAAGAGACGAGTTGTCATTTAAATACATAAAACATGAGTAAATAGTTACGAATGAAGTATTAACCATGCGAATGAAGTAAACAGCATCTACAAATTTGCAATAGTTCTGTAACAAAATTAATTCCACCTACACGTTACTCTGTAACATGTAATATAAATTTACATGTAAATTCATGCACACACCCGGCACATGGTACGCTTTGAATATTACGCGGTTAGTTATTACGTTTCATATATATGTAATTGCTTTGTCTGACTAGATTAGATCGCTTCGAATTGGCATAGTGTCTGAAACCTCGTTCCAAGATTAAGTAGAACTATACGTCCATCTTGTCGTATGGTCCCGGTATAGAATGTTTCCACTTTTTCCCGTAGGTGACGTAAGGGTTTTCTTTTCTATATCACAAAGGTGGCAAACAAGCATACAGCCTGTCTGATGGTAAATGATCACTGTAGCCTATGGACGCCTGCAACACTAGGGGTTAGAGTTAGACGTTTCCAACCATGAAGAAAGCTTAATATACTATTTTATCTATTTAGAGGAAGACTTTGTACAAAAGTCGTTTGCTTAAGCAACTCTGTCCCATTCGTGTTTCAACCGTGAAGCAGTTGTGTTTGCATGGCTGTGTTTCGGTTTGAAGGGTGGGATATGACGTGAATTTACTAGGCACAGAGGAAATTTTCAAGGCACTTTCTTCCACGCACAACCATTCTTTGGAATCAACTTCCAGCAGCAGTATTTCCGAACCGATACGACAACATAACCTTCAAGAAAAGAGTATATTCCTTTTTAAAAGGCCGGCAGCACACCTGCAATGCCGCTGGTGTTGTGGGTGATCATGGGCGGCGGTAGTCACTTACCATCAGGTGAGCCGCATGCTCGTTTGCCCCCTGTGTTGTAAAAAAAAAAAAAAAAAAAAGAATAACATCCGAGTCCTCAGGAATGGCAACGCATTGGGGGTATCATGGGCGAAACAGTATACTCTGTTATGTCCATGGTACTGCTCATGTCTATAGGCGACGGTTACCACTGTCCATCAGGTGGGCTGTCAGCCTGTTTGCTATTCTAAGTTGTATAAAATACATGCATGGGACAGATAAAAGAAACACTAGGTGTCATGTTGTATAGGAAGGTCAAGGATATGTCCTGGAATAGAGCTGGCTGGAAGAAGATGCATGAATTAGTTGTACCGACAAGAGGAAACCCTTAAATGAAAAAAAAATCTACCTGTGCGAAGCCTGACGGGATTATTAGTAGTATATATACATATATATATATATATATATATATATATATATATATATATATATATAGATACATATAGATACATATATGTATATAACAACCAAATAAACATTTCTCCTGTTAGTTATATAAATGTTGTACCCAAAACTTTTAAACGCATTCTCGTCTAACAATTCCAATGAATTTCAATAGTTCCTAATTTAACGTACCTACGTACGGCTATGTAATAATCATTAAACTTGAATTTAACCTCTAGAATGTAATTCTAGAGGTTCAATCCAAGTTTATATGACTTATATATTATAGTAACTTTTGTAATACTAGTTTTCTTATACATATATATGTTACACTATCTGAAAAGATAGCATATTTGTTCACGAATAAAACCTATAAATAGTATATTTGAGAAATAATTCTTGTAAGAAGCAATTTACAGTGGTACCCTGCACTTTGGTTATGTTTTGTTAAGAGAGGGACTGAATGAAAACCAGCGCTGTGCAGCTGTTCACATTGCGCTGGGACACTCACAGCATCGGCTGAGCCGGTTCCTTTTGACGAGTATGGGACACTTTTTGTATATGTTATCTATATTTTATATTGTAATTGTATGTTTACTGGCAATAAATGTTTCTATTCTATTCTATTCTAAATTGATTCAAAGAGATTTTATTTGTTTACTCTAACGAAGTATGATTTTTTTTAAAAAATTCCAAAATAAATTTGTTCCTTTTTATGCAACTTAAAATGGCAAACAGTCTGACGGCCCGGCTGATGGAAAGTGGTAACCGTCGCCTATAGACATGAGCATTACCATGGACATAGTAGAGTATACTGTTTCGCCCATGACACCCCCCATGCGTTGCCATTCCTGAGGACTCGGGTGTTATTCCTCCGTACCCTGTAAATTCACGCCTTCCCACCCTTCAAACCGAAACACAGCCATGCAAACACAATTGCTTCACGGTTGAAACACGAATGAGACAGAGGTACCCAAGCAAACGACTTTTGTACAAAGTCTCCTCTTACTTTTAATATAGATATCAGAGTATCATAAAAATGTACACAGGCGAACTTTTCCCTTAAAGGGATTACTTCATTTTTTTATTGTTATTCTAAATTTTTTTTTTTTACAATTCTCTTTGCAAGCAATAGAAATTGTGTTGGTTCCATAACGATTAAATGCTACCAGAATGACGAAAAACTTTTTGTCCTCAAAGCTCCAAAAAATTACAATACAATTGACAATTGAGTTACTTTTATGTACATATAATAGTTATTTTATATTTATATTTTTAATTTTGTTTATCTATACTCTATTAATAACTATATAGCTACTAATAATTTATCATTTATCATATTGACTGGAAGAAATTTATTTAAGGGATAACTCTACCTGTGTACGTTTTTGTTATAACTCTAATATTTCTGTAAAAAGTGAATGTACTTAAGCGTATAAAAGAAATAAAGCCGTTTTACTTTTCAGAACAAAGATTATGTGTCTTTTAGAGGACTTTTCTTTACAACAAGCAGTTTTTATACTGCAAACAAAAATGTCATAAAATTGATATGAAACTAATATTATTAATAAACTAATATTATAAATGACAATTAGTGGCATAATGACGTAATATAGCTACAAAAAATAAAACCAGTCAAATGTGAGTTAGAGAACTTGCACGCGAGTGAGGGTTCTGCACAAAAAATAATATTTAAATTTGATATGATAACATGTAGTTATTAATGGTATTAATAGTACTGCGACAAATGGACAAACAGATAAACAGACAAACTTGCACCATAAGAGTCCTTACAAACAAAATAGCCATTTTATGCTAGTTTTAATAAGGAACCCTAAAAATAAAGATGGATCGAGAACCTCCTCCGTTTCGAAGTCTACTGAATAGCTAAATCAAATGAAATGGGCCGACCTATAAATATCTATCATGCCTGCCTTTGTTCGTACTCATAAAACTTGCAAACCCCCATTCACGATCCACCGCCTCCCGTTAAGATAGCCCTCAAATCCCACAGTTTCAACAAAGCCCTTCATTAATATGCGATCTTTCCTTTTGCAGGCGAGAAAAATCTAATAACGCAAGAATGGCCGGCTCCCGTGAGAGATTACTCTATGATAGGCGGCCAGAATACGACCAATACGATTCTAGACGTAGACAAGATTACAATTGGAGTGACAGAGAACACAGAAGGTACAACCACAGAGTAGAACGTTATGAGCTACCTAAAAGAAAAAATGGCTATGTATACGAAGACATTTATTCCGATTTCGATGAGGCACAAGGCCGCCTATCTTTATTTAGACCGATCAGGCCGGAGTACCTCAATTTGCCCACATCCTATGACGTCAAATATAACTCGTTGCCTAGAAATTATTATAATTATGACGACCGAAACGGGCGAAGATATAAAAAGGACTACTACGATTTTCGAATCGACGATAGAAGGAGAACTAGGGAATCTTACGAACCGTACAGAAGAAGAACGGAATCGAGACAGAAAGAAGTAACGATATATGAACGAAGACCAAAACCATGTAACGAGGTAACCCAAAATTCTACACCGAAAAACGTTGCAGTCTGCAAGCCGTTACGATTGAGTGACAAAAACGCACGGTACTGGACCACAGAAGCGCCAGAGAGGAGGTCACGACCTAAAAAACCTGAAGAAACCAAGAAGAACGTAAAATTCTCTGAAGTGTCCGGTTGCAATCGGAAAATGATCGTCGACGACCCAATTTGCGGGAAGCGAGTGGTCCCAGTCAGAGAATTAGAAGTTTCCTTAGATCAAATGATACAGAATGGTTATTTTGAAAAGCACAACATTCCGATATCGAGACCTATGGAGCGAAACTCGAATACTGGCAAGGAAGAGATAGCCGCCGGTGGCGTGCCAAACGGGAAGTGTTTATCGGGAACGGGCGAGGTGAAGGAAAAGTTGCCGCCGCGTAAAACTAGACATCTACCGCAGGTGAGCTATTAGAATTATTGATAACTACATAGTTTTCTGTCCACTACTTCGTACGGATTTCAGTATTAATGAAATGCACCATTTCTAGATGACCAAAATTTCGTCATAGTGGTAGAATACTGACGGATCTGACAAATATTACATATAAAGATCCGTCAGTATTCTACGACTATGACGATATATACCAAGCAGCGGCCCGTCCCGGCTTCGCGCGGGTTGACATTTTTACATTTTAAAAAGTGGCCATTAAGGCTACACACGCGATGGTAGCTTAAAAATGGAGTAACTTCTCCCGTTTTCCCAACATTTCCCTTCACTGCTCTGCTCCTATTGATCGTAGCGCGATGAAAAGTATATTATAACCTACCCAGGAGTATGAAGAATAATTGTACCAAGTTTCGTTAAAATCCGTCAAGTAGTTTTTGTTTTTATAACGAACATACAGACAGATAGACAAACATTTTACTGATTGCATTTTTGGCATCAGTATCGATCACTAATCAACCCCTAATAGTTATTTTGGAAATATATTTCATGTACAGAATTGATCTGTCTACAGATTTATTATAAGTAAGATTTTTAAGTTAAACCTTCAGAAATAAAACTGTGAAAATGCCATCAAATTTAATGCAGGGAAATTTTGTTCGATACCAGAACAAACATATATACATACATTTATAAAGATTATTATTTTGGATTCTATAAATCCTATTAAAACTCCTTACATCATCTTTCACTGACGTCAAAAAGAAGGAAATTCTCAATTCGGCTGTATTATAATTTTTTTTTTGTATTTGTTACCTCATAACTCCATCAATTCTAAACCGATTTGGAATTTTTTATCTCTGAAAGGATACTTTTTTTTATACCACTGAGGTGGCAAACAAGCATACGTCCCACCTGATGGTAAGTGGTTACTGTAGCCTATGAACACCTTTTTTTTTTTTTAACGTCTGGAAAATGTTTTATGCAGACCCATACACCTTGTGGGAGGTGAATGGGTACTGTGGGAATCCTCCCGTAAGGTGGGGGTGTACCCACTAAAAACCAGACGATATACCCTCGAGGTGCCATATGTCGGAGACATGGGTTCGCTTTCGCACTCACCACATCTCAGACGGCAGCGACCCGCCCCCAGATGGTAAGAACAGGTCTCCTCTCTCAAGATAGGGTGGATGGCGTGCTCACCCTACCACTCGGAGGATGCGCCGGTATATTAGCACATCCCCCAGGACCATTGGGACAATACCTTCCCACAGGTATCACCCCGGCCCTAGTGGGGAAGGAGGAGGGGCGGAACTGGGCGCGCCCCTCCTGCGTCTGACTCGTCTGCGGCGGATTGACGGTGCGAAAGTGGCACTCTCCCGCTCCCTTTCCGCCGCCTCCTTCTGCGACATGACGGCGTCGCAGAAGGCGAGCATCGCTTCCCACGATCTCTCACTGCTCACCATCCGCCAAACCACGGCGGGCAGTGAGAGATCGGTCCCCACTACCCCGGACAAGTTACGACGCTCATCGGCATACGCTGGGCACTCCTCCAGCGTATGCTCCGCCGTGTCCTGGTCCGCTCCACAAGCATGGCACTCCTCCGTCGGCTCCCTGCGCGCGACATGACACAGATATCGCTCAAAGCACCCATGCCCGGACAGTATCTGTGTCATCCTGAAGGTCAGCGGCCTTCGCCGCCTATCCATCCACTTCTTAAGAAGTGGACGGATAGCCTCGACGGTCCTTCGGCCGGCCGATGGATCGGTCAGCCGCTGTTCCCACTTCCGCTGCAGAATGTGGTACTTCCGCAGCGCAACTTCCAGCCTGAAAGGCTCGGCACCCTGGCGCCTCCGCTCCGCACGCCACTCATAGACCGATGCACAGGCATTGGCCTCCAAGTCCCAGGGCGGCGAGCCCGCCATCACACACGCCGCCTCCGTGGAGATAGTGCGGTATCCGCGTATAATGCGGATTGCCATGGCCCTATGTGGCCTGTTTAAACAAGCCACATTTTGCCTGCTCAGGGCCCTATTCCATATTGGAGCCCCGTACAGGGCCATGGACCTCACCACCCCAAGATAGAGGCGACGTGCGCTCCCTCCTGGCCCTCCTATGTTTGGCAGCAGCCGGCTTAGAGCACCGGCAGCCGCCATAAGGCGGGGGGCCAACCTCTGAAGTGCTTACGGAAGTTCCAGCGACTGTCTAAGTCAAGACCCAAGTACCTTATATGGGGCTTGACGACCAATCTCTGGCCACTGACCATTATGTGGGCTCCCTCTGGTGGCGCTCGTCGGGGTCTGTGAAAGCATAGTACCTCCGACTTCTCCAGCGCCACATGGAGCCCAAGGCGACGCGCACGACCGACGACGAGTGCCACGCTTGCCGTGGCAAGACGGGCAGCTTCCCTGTAAGTTCTCCCCTTGGCAACAACAAGTGTGTCATCTGCATAGCAGACAACATCGCTGCCGGAAAGTAGAGCACCCCGCAAGTTCCAGTCATACCCGATGTTCCACAGGATCGGTCCTAGCACCGACCCCTGTGGGACACCACGCTGCATCTCCCTCGACGTTACCGCCCCATTCTGTCCCAGGCAGTGCACTGTCCTGTGCTCTAGGTAGGCCCCGATTACGTCCCGTAAGTAGGGAGGCACCTGATGATATTTTAGTGCCTCCCTAATGCACGCAAATGGCAGAGTGTTGAAGGCGTTCTTGATGTCGAGCGACACCGCCAACAGCACCCCACCGCAGGATGTCGCCTCATCCGAGAGAGCCCGGCATCGATGGTGCTCAGACCCGCACGAAATCCGAACTGCCTCGGACTGAGGCCGGGACCTACTTGGGACAGGTGTTGGTTGAGGCGACCAGCTATTATTCTTTCAAACAGCTTGCCGACCTCCCCCAGTAGTACTATGGGACGGAATGCCGAGGGTGCAAGGGAACCTGCGGGGTGCCCCTCCTTTCGTAAGAGGATCACTCTGCCCATCTTCCACTCGTCGGGAAATCGTCCCGTCTCCAGGCACCTGTCGAACAGGTCCCAGAGACGGTTCCCTAGGGCGCCCAGGGCCAGGACTAGAACGCGGCCGGGTATTCCATCAGGCCCCGGGGCGGTGTTTTTCGCCCGGAGCCTATCCACAGCCGCTGCGAACTCCTCCTGGGAGACTCTCGTGGCCCCTACAACTCCGGCACCACTAACCTCATGGCTCCGCGGTAACATGGGAGGGGGTGTAAACTCCGGCTGCGCTGGGAAAAGCGCAGCCAGTACCTCTTCCAGCTGCTGAGGCGGGATGCGTTCCGTTTCCGGGGGCGCCCAGGAGCCTATGAACACCTGCAATACCAAAGGTATAACGCGTGCGTTGCCGAGCCTGAAGAAACCTCTTTACCCCCCTTTTGAAGAACCCCATGCTGTAGTCTCTTGGGAAAACCTCGGCAGGGAGCTCATTCTACAACCTGAGTGTTCGTGGGAGGAAACATCTCTGAAACCGCGCAATACGCGACCATTGAGGCTGTAGGACATGAGGATGAACTCCCTGTCGATGGCGAGCCGTACGATGGTTTAGTTAAGTTTTTAAAGTAAAATAACTGGTGTTGTCATAGTTGAAGTAAATTTTTTGTATAACACAATTTTAATTTCTTAAATATCTGCCATTTTTTGACAACGTCTAAATACAATTTTATTATTATAGTCAAATTAACTTTGTAATTTCATTAATTTAATTATGAAAGTTGCCGTGCCGTGTGGTCCCGGCATAGAATAGGCCACCCCTTCCTTTCCCGTGGGTGTCGTAAGAGGCGATTAAGGAAGGGCGAGAGATGGGCAGCAGTGTTCCTCATAAAACATATAACGCTCAATTGCGGTTGCCAATCCGCTTGCCAAGCGTGACAACTACTGGCACTCTCCACCCCCCAAGGGGGAGGCTTATATTCAGCAGTGGACAGTTAAAGGCTGATATGATATCCCTTCTTTGCATGATTTTTTTATTGGTGAAATCAATGTCATATAATGAAAATGATATAATTCATGTTTAAAATTAAAGGAAAAATGGTTAAAACTATAAATTAGACAGCTATGTTTTTTTTTTCTGCAATGGACATTAAAAAAATTATCCAGACACGATCAACTTAAAGTGAATTTGGATTTTTATATAAGTTTTAATCATTCAATGTTATGATGGAAATTTTCACCGGTATGCAAAAAAGGGATATGATGAATTATAGATGTTTGTAGGTACCTATATATAAAAATGAAAATTGATTTAATTAGAGTCGATTTGAACTAATACTTATTAGATTGTCTTTAAAATAATCAAATAAATTGAGTGATTTTTCATTCTTTCTGTTTAGAACGATTATATATATATATATATATATATATATATATATATATATATATATATATATATATATATATATATATATATATATATATATATATATATATATATATATATATATATATATATATATATATATATTTTATTTATTTACCAGAGGGAGACTTTGTACAATAGTCGTTTGCTTAGGAACCTCTGTCCCATTCATGTTTCAACCGTGAAGCAGTTGTGTTTGCATGGCTGTGTTTCGGTTTGAAGGGTGGGATATGGCGTGAATTTACAAGGTACAGAGGAAGGGCATGGGGGGTATCATGGGTGAAACAGTATACTTTGTTATGTCCACAGTACTGCTCATGTCTATTGGCGACGGTTACCACTTTCTATCAGGTGGGCCGTCAGCTTGTTTGCCATTCTAAGGTGTATAAAAAAATATATATATTTATTATAAGCAACATTTTACATCGGGCCAACGTTATTAAATTGCAACAGATTATGGAAATTGCCACCATGGGCTAGTAACGCCATCTGGCGTTTTGTATATATTCATATGAAAGCGTACAAGCTCGCCCCAGCCAATGGAATAATTGCTCGCATTAAAGCAATCTGCGCCTAATGGGCGGCATCTGTAAGTGCCTTTTTAAACTAGCAATCCGGCCCGGCTTTGCACGGGTAGTTTGAATTT